CGGCACCGAGGGAAGACCTGGACACACGGGGTCACCTGGTGCTGTGCGGGGTCACAGGGTCACACGGTGTCACACTGTCACAGACCATCAGAGTCAGTGTCCCACAAAATCACACACTGTCACACACTGTCACACCCTCACATTCTCACATAAAATCACACATTGTCACACACTATCACACACATTGTCACTCATTGTCACACACTGTCACACACTGTCACATTGTCACCCATTGTCACACACTGTCACACACATTGTCACCCATTGTCACACACTCTCACACACTGTCACATTGTCACCCATTGTCACACACTCTCACACACATTGTCACCCATTGTCACACACTCTCACACACTGTCACATTGTCACCCATTGTCACACACTGTCACACACATTGTCACCCATTGTCCCACACTCTCACACACTGTTCCCCCAAGGCACAGAGGGGACCCAGGGGTGCTGCCCCTGATCCCAAGGTGGGTTCCAGCCCAGGGTGCCACTGGGTGGGGGCAGCAGCTCTGGACCCTGGGGGGGTCCCTGCATGGCCCCAGGGGTGCTGTGGGACCCCCCCAGACCCTGCAGCCCCCCAGGGCTGACACTGACCCCCCACCATTGCCTGGTGGGGAGAGAGCAGCTCCCCATGGTTGTGGGACCCCCCTCCCGCTTGGGGGGTAACCATTGGGCTGGGACCCCCTCGGGGTGGAGTCCCCTGGGAGTGGTCCCCCATGGCACTGGGACCCCCTCGGGGTGGTGTCCCCATGGGGCAGGTCCCTCATGGGGTGACACCGCCACTGCAGGGAGGATGTGGCTGAGGGGTCCCCTCTGCCCCCCAGGTTTGGGGTGACACAGGTAGGTCTGTCCCACCCCCAAATGTGGGGTGACACAGCTGTGTCTGCCCCCCAGATTTGGGGTGCTGGGGCTGACCCCAAATGTGGGGTGTGTCTGCCCCCCAGGTAAGTGGCCCCGGCCCCCCCTGCCCACACTCACCTCCTGGAGGCTCCTCATGGTGGCTCCGGGGGGCTCCCAAGCTGCTGGGCGGCCGCGGGACCCCCGGTTTTGTGCTGGGGGGCGGCGCGGGGGGGCCCCGCCCGGCCCGGC